CCACGGGCAGAAACCCTGAGCCCGTAGGCAGAGTTGGGGGGGCACGAGGGTCTTGCCCCCCAAACTGCAGCACCTTACCCAGAGTGAGATAGTCCTGGGGGCAGCTTCCCCAATCCCCCCACCTCCTCTTCTCCCTCAGCCCCCCTCAGGCCCCACCCTCTGGCCAGGTCCTAGCAGGAAGCCAGAGCCAGGCAGTGCGTGGCAGCTGCTTCTCTGGCTGGTGGTGCCATGGAGTGGGCAGCCCTGGCATTCCCCGTCTGCTGCTGGTGCCCGGGGGTTGTGGCTGCTCCTCCGCTCCCAGCCCCCTTTGACTGCTCACGCAGCCGGGCCGAGCTGCCCGGGCATCTCCAGACCCAGCAGAGCCCTTGGGGAGCAGCCACTGGCACACAGCCTCCGACAGGTGGGTGGCCTGAGGAGGTGAGTCAGGGACTAGAGGTGGCGCTCCCTTCCTGGACCCTGCTGTGCAGAGCTGGCCTGAGCCCTGCCAGCCCCTGGGCCCCCACCCCCAATAGAAATACACCTATGCCCCAGGGTCCCTCCTCCCCCACAGCTGGGCCCCGAAGTTTTTATAGCATGCTGAGGGGGGCTCAGAAAGAAAAAGGTTGAGAACGCCTGTCCTCGACCCCATTTAAGTCAGAATTTGATCCCCGAATCTCAATTTTTATGCGTCAGCCCTGAACATTCTGACAGGCATACGTGGCTTTAAGCATGGGATTGAATGCAGTGGAACTGCTCGCATGCTGAACACCAAGCCCACGTGTAAATCTTCACAGGATTGGGCCTCAGCCAGCTCTCCTGGGTGTACCCTCCATCCATCAACCAACCCCTCAGGCTGCGGAGAGCCCCATTGGAGCTACATGGAACTTGAGTCCACTCCCAGGGGATCACACCACGACAGCAATCCTGGGCCCACTGAAGTCAATGAATTTATTAGAGCATAAGCTTTCGTGGACTATAGCCCACTTCTTCGGATGCATATAGAATGGAACATATATTGAGGAGATATATATACACACATACAGAGAGCAT